TCAATAACAAACTAATTTCAGTAATGGTATTTTGCAAAAAATTTATTCCCAGTTTGATTTATTTACCATCAAGTAGCTGACCATTGTCATACATGGGTATAACAACAAGTTCTGTGAAGGCATATGGATAATCAGTTGTATCAAGCATTGGAAGTAGAGGCTCTGCTACTGCATTTAAAATAAACAAAATATTTGTAATTAATTTAGAATATGTTATATTTACCATTTCTCTTCTTCATTATAAAACGGTACAATGGCCTACAACAGGTTAACCAGCAAGCCTTTATACAGCGTATGCAAATCTTATGACAGAAAAGAGAACAGACTAGCCCCAAAAGCACACTAAACACAAATATGAATATGAAAAAATTCTCGCTTTGAGGAGAACTAGGAATATCATTGGAGGTGGTACTCAAAGTAACAGTAGGTACATATCTTTTAACCATAATTACTTCTTTGTTGACATCAAACTTGCTCACACGAGGACAAAATGTATCACTGGAGGTATTCAAGGTAGCAACAGGTACACGTCTTTGACTCTGAGATTTCAGTGCATCAAACTTGCTGACATGAGGGAGTTTATCATAAGGACAATGAGCCATGTGCTTTGATCCTTTGGGATCCTCATCAAAAGAGACTTTATAAGCAATATCGCATGATTCGTTTCTATCACATTGACACATGTTGGAAGGCTGAGACCAGTTCATCTGCAGGGTGTCATTGAGAGTGAAATCAAGTGTCAAATTATTCACATCAGATAACACACCTACCAGATTATAAACAAGCATGTAAACAACACATTGACTAATTAAAACATTTAGAGACTCACTTTCGTGAGTTCATGTGTGCACACTAAGTTACAAATGTGTTCATTTAATATATTTTACATAAAAAGAGGAGTGATAATACCATGATAATACATAAACAAATAAATGGACGACTAGTAGTTCTCTTAGTCACATGCAGGCTCTGAGCTCATGAACTATACACAATTATTATTGAGACTTAGGTCAGAGCTAAGAAATAAAGGATTATTTTGACTAAATAGAGTTTAATGTCACAGCTAGCACGGTACTAACCTGGTTTTAAAGTGTAATCAAGTACAGTCTGGTTAGAAACATTGTTCACGCAATGAAGGTGAACTTCATGAACAAGCGATATAATAGTCACCATAGTAACAGT